ATGGTAGGAAACCAATCACTTGAACCATTACTGCTGCCTCCTGGGGTCTGCATTAGCAGGAAGCTGGAGTCAGGAGCCACAGCTGAGTATTGAACTGATATGGGACTCAGGCAGCTCAACCAGATTTTTAGCTGCACAGCCAAATCTCAGTCCCCTCTTTAATTTGTGATATTAGTAATTTATTTTCTTTCGTTATTATTATTTTGGATACAGGGATTTTATCTTTTCAAAGAATAAAGTTTTGCTTTCATTAATTTTCCTTATAATTTTCCTTATTTTCTGTTTCATTGATTTCTACTCTGATTTTTACTATTTCTTTTCTTCCATTTGCTTTTGGCTTACATCATCCTTTTTCTGATTTCTTCAGCAGAAGTTTAGATTAAAAATTTCAGATCTTTTCTACTTTATTCATTCAGTGCTATAAATTTAATTTCAAACACTGCTTTTCCTCTTCTCTCTCTCTCCCTCTCTCTGTCCCTCCCTCTGTCCCTGTCAAATAAGTAAAATAAATCTTTTTCAAAAGGAAACACTGCTTTTGCTGCATCCCACAAAATTTGATGAATTTCATTTTCATTTAGCTCAAAACATTCTTAATTTCTCTTGAGACTTCTTTGACCAACGTGTTAGAAATATTATTGCTTCAGGGCTGGTGTTGTGGCATAGCAGTTAAAAGCTGCTGCTTGTGACTCCAGTGCCAGTTTGTGTCTTGGCTGCTCCACTTTCAATCCACCAGATCTCCCTGCTAATGACTTGGAAAGCAGAAGACGACCCAAGTGCTTAGGCCCCTGCCACATGTGTGGAAGACCAGGGTGGAGTTCTAGGCTCCTGGAATGGGCCTGGCTCAGCATTGGCCATTGCAGCCATGTGGGGAGTAAACCAGTGATGGAAGATCTCCCTCTCTGTCTCTCCCTCTCTCTCTGTAACTCTGACTTTCAAATAAATAAGTAAGTCTTTTTTAAAATGTGTTTATTTCATGTCCAGGTATTTTAGGATTCTCCAACTATCTTTATGTCATTTATTTCTAATATAATTTCATTGCAGTCTGGGGAACATACTTTATGATTTATATTTTTGTCTTTTTTTTTAAGTTATTTATTTGAAAGGCAGGGTGGGGAAGAGAGAGGTCTTCCATTTACTGGTTCACTCCCCAAATGGCTCTAATGGTTGGAGCTGTGCTGATCCAAAGCCTAGGAGCCAGGATCTCCCACACAGGTGCAGGGGCCCAAGGACTTGGGCCATCTTCCCCTGCTTTCCCAGGCCACAGCAGAGAACTGGATTGGAAGTGGAGCAACCGGGTCTCAAACCAGTGCCCATATGGGTTGCAGGCACTGCATGCGGTAGCTTTATCTGGTATACCACAACACCAGCCCCATGTATGATTTATATTTTTAAAGTTTCTTAAAGTATATTCTATGATTCAGAATGTGGTCTAGCTTAGTGGATGATCCATATAAGCTTGAGAAGAATGTGGATACTGTTGATGCAGTATTCTGTGTCTTTGAATTTCTAGCAACTTTGCATATCTGTTTAGAGGAAATGGGAGTTAATATAAATTTCTAAGTCTGTATTATGGCGAATGTAAGCCATTTCTACATTCACATTCTCAAATCTGACTGTGTTTAAACTATAAAGGAACATGCCTTTTTTTAAAAAATAGTATCTAAGTTAGTTTGATATTTTTTTCTAATATTCTCCAAGATGTAGGTACAGGATCCTTCCTTCACCATGAAAAGATTTTTATGTTTTGTTGTTTTTATAATGAGCAAACTTTTCTTCCCTCCTCTATGGTTTATAATATAAACTCCATCCTTTTAAGTCATCCAAGTATTGACGACTTCTTCTTCTTCTTCTTCTTCTTCTTCTTCTTCTTCTTCTTCTTCTTCTTCTTCTTCTTCTTCTTCTTCTTCTTCCTCTTCTTCCTCTTCTTCCTCTTCTTCTTCCTCTTCTTCTTCCTCTTCTTCTTCCTCTTCTTCTTCCTCTTCTTCTTCTTCTTTTTTTTTTGAAAGGCAGTCATAGAGAGGGAGAGATACGCACTGGCTCACTTCCCAAATGGCCACAACAGCCTGAACTGGGCCAATCTGAAGCCAGGACCTTTCTCCAGGTCTCCCATGTGGATGCAGGACCATTCTCTACTACCCTGCAGGCCCATCAGCAGGGATCTGGATGGGAAGTGGAGCAGCCGGGCCTTGAACCGGGCTGATGTGGGATCCCTGTGCCACATGCTGCGGCTTTACCCTCTCGCCACAGCTCTGGCCTCCAGGTATTGGCTTCTTGGAACACAACTCTCCTAGCCTCCCTAAAAAGATTATAGTTTTTCAATAAATCAAAAATACTTAGATCTCTAGGGGCTGGCACTGTGGTGCAGTAGGTTAAGCTTCCACCGGTGGTGCTGGCATCTGATATGGATGCTGAATTAAGCCCAGGCAGCTCTACTTCCAACCCAGCTCCCTGCTAATAACCTGGGAAAGTAGTAGAAGATGGCAAGTGCTTGGGCCCCTGCATCCACATGGGACACCTGGAAGAAGCTCCTGGCTCCTGGCTCCCCACTGCCCTAGCTCCGGCCATTGCGGCCATTTGTGGAGTGAACCAGTGGATGGAAGACCTCTCTCTGTCTTTTCATCTCTCTTTCTGTAACTCTACCTCTCAAATAAATAAATCTTTTTAAAAAAGCTTTGATCTTAAGATAATCTTCTGTGCATAGAATTCTAGGAACCTATTTCAGAACCCAAAATCAAAAATTTGACTTTATTGTTGATCAATTATTTTTTCTTTAATTTTTACTTTTATTTTGAAATTTTAGTTCATTTATTGAGATTTGGACAACAGACCTCCAATCTGCTGATTTAGTATCCAAGTGCTTGCAATGGTTTGCCAGAATAAAGCCAACAGCTGAGAACTCAGTCTAGATCTCCCTTCTAGGTGGCAGGGACCAAACTACTTGAGCTGACCTAGAATCTACGTTAGCAGGGATCTGGAGTTAGAAGCCAGAACTAAGTATCATTGGAATGCAGGCATCTTAACCAGTAGATCAAAGGCCCACCTTTTATTTTCCTTTTGACTTATACATAATTATACATATTTATGGAGTACAATGTTATGTTTCAATACATCTATACAGTACTCAATGATTAAATCAGGGTAATTGCATAACTGTCACCTTAAAACATTTATCATTTCTTTGTGTAGGGAACATTCAAAATCCTTCATACCAGCTGTTTTGATACATTTAATTGTTGTCAACCATAGTTATCATACTATGTTACAAAATATTAAAAGTACCCTAATAGGGGCCAGTGTTACAGCACAGTGGGTTAAGTTGCCAGCATCCCTTATTAGAATGCTGGTTCAAATCCATTGTCTAGCATCCTATCCAGCTCTGTGTTAATGCATTTGGAAAACCGATGAAGAACGGCCCAAGTGTTTGGACCCTTGCTACCCCAATGGGAGATCCAGCCCTTGCTGTTTTGGTCATTTGGGGAATAAACCAGCAGATAGAAGATCCCCCTCTGTGTTACCCTGGCTTTCAAATAAATGAGTTGTTTTTAAAAATAGATAAAAGTAACCTCATATAGTCATACATTTTCATACTTAAATGTGCAGTTCAAGGCCAATATTGTGGCCCAGCATCCCAAATTGGATCTATTTACCGACTCCTGCCCACATTAAACAGATCCTTCTCTGCCATAGTCTTAACTAACAGGATTTTACCTTCTTTGGCTGGAGTTTAAGGTTTTATAAACATTTTTAAACTTACTTCAGCTTATAATATTGACAATATTGCATCAATGAATGGTTTCAGTTGTAGAATGGCTACATACTGGAAGGATACATCCTGCCCAAGGCACAAACGTTATGCCATATATGAAGACTGGCTCTGGTTAAATCACTCAACTTGGTCTACATATACTGAGCACCTACAGTGAGCTGCGCCCTATAAACTAAGTAAGATGCCAGCTCACCCCTCCATGCTGTCAGGATCAGCAGGGGAGAGGACACCAATCCATGCTGACGACACAAAGCAGTGGCTTCAGGAGAGATGAGTGCATCCATTTGTAAGGTTTTTGTTACATTAGAGTGACTGAGAAAGAAGCCAGGCTCTGGGTAATCAAGGATGTATCAGCTGTCTTCCCCATCACTTTTTCTTTATTGAAGTAGAAAGCTCATGAGGTCATGGAGAATGCTGATGTGGTCATCCCTGGGGAGGGTTGCAGGTTCCAGCCCTTTGCAGCTAGCTCAAGGACCGACTGTTTGATCTCTGTTTCCTCATGGACAGGGTAGAAGTTCCCCTGGGAAATTGGCTTAATTAAATTAAGATAATAAATGTAAATCTGTTTAAAATGGTACCTGGCACAGAATGGGTTATGTGATTATTCTTCCTTTATGCTTACATAAAGAAATAATTACTAAATCAAAAGTTCTTCTACTTCTAATTGGGGAGATTCCTATTAACTTGTAGTGTAGAAAATAGAAACTTTAATAGAAAACTCTAGCACAATGAAAGTGAAAGAAAGAAAGGAAGGAAGGAAGAATTAATTCCCAGCATGAACTCACCATTGTGCAATGGGAACCTTGTCCTTGTGGCCTTTCCTTTTCTCCTAGGTTGAGTTTGTCAAATCTTTATAAGTCAGATTTAGTCTCTTCTACAGAGCCCCATGTGGACTAGGCTGTGGATTCTGAAGTAATGCTTTATTGGAACAGAAGTCTTTTAATTATTTTTAAAAATCACCTCTGTTTCCTGAATAGAAATCAAAAGGGAATATAGAAGTATTCAATCATATAATAATATTTCTACCCAATGGGTAGTTAGACTGGGATGAATAACCTGTTGATAACAGTATAGTTATATTATGTGAAACAATGTGATGGAAGATGGCATACCCTAAATATTTTAGGTGACACAAAATTGGCCCTATTGAAGCAAAATAATAACAGCAAGAATTCATGAAAAGAATAAAATTGTTTCATGAAATGTGAAAAAGCCAAAGTAAAGAATATTTTATGTACAATTTCATACATGAAATATAACCTCTTTACTAAAATGAATATTAAATGTGGGATAATCTTCCATATTTGAATCTTTCTGCAGATATACAGTCCAGTCAGAGCCACTGCAGTCATAAATTCTCATTTCACTTTTGCTTCTTGGAGCTTTTCATTCCCACTCAGTGGTGGACAAGTTTAATGTATTTGACTTCATCCTCCACTGAATTTCTGCTGGTTTTTCACGGCCTTCACCTGCTTCCTCTTTGGGTGCAGACTCTTCTGGAGCTTCTGGTGATGAGGACTACTGTGGCGGTGGGGGCGCCTCTGGCGGTGGAGGCGCCTCTGGCGGTGGGGGCGCCTCTGGCGGTGGGGCCGCCTCTGGAGGTGGGGGCGCCTCTGGCGGTGGGGCCGCCTCTGGAGGTGGGGGCGCCTCTGGCGGTGGGGCCGCCTCTGGAGGTGGGGGCGCCTGTGGCGGTGGGGCCGCCTCTGGAGGTGGGGGTGCCTCTGCGGGTTTGGGTGCCTCTGGTGGTGGGGCCTGCTCTGGAGGTGGGGCCTGCTCTGGAGGTGGGGGCGCCTCTGCGGGTCTGGCTGCCTCTGGTGGTGGGGCCTCCCTCGCTGGGGGGGCCTCTTGCTGTTGGGGGGCCTCCTGTTGTTGAGCAGGTTGCTCTGGTGGTGGGCCTCCACTGACTCCTCTGAGGGGAGCTCTTCTGAAGGACTCCTCTGATTCCTCTTTTGACTCCGCTATTGA